ATTCTGGTTAACCCTGAGATTCTAGTTGATCATTATTGTATCTTGTATTTTTATGTATTTTTTAAATCCTTATTAAAGACTCACCCAACCTAACATTTCATAGATTAAATCTACCTTGTTTTTATGGCCCAGAATTCCAGTCATGGTGCTCACAGGTGTTATGCAAGTTCCTACACAGCAATGCTAGAGCCCTTCCTTTGTGACCAGCATCTTTTCTGTTGCTCCAGAATCATGAACCTCTCCTGAGCAAAAAATGCAAAGCATGTTATGCTGTGCAAAACGTCATTGCCCCCTATAGCTTAAATTATGAGTATTTGCATTGAAATGCAGTGCTACTCAGTATAAAAATAGCAGAATTGGGCCCAATGGACGCAAGATCAGACCCATAAAAATCGGAGGCAAACAATGACTAAGGGATGTCAGAAGTAAGCAAAAATCCTGTTACTTTGGCTGACAGAGCGTTTGGTCTGACGCCAACAGTGCCTTTCCCCAGGATTATGCAACTGATACACCGCACCTAAGAGGTAGGATTACTGTGTAGATAAAACCTAGATATACTGATTTTAAATGGGAAATGCATAAAGGACATTAACTGTTTGTATGCCTGGTCAAAATAAAATACCTTAGATTAGAAAATGTCAAAAGTAGATGCTCGTGTCAAGCTCTCTTACACTTTGACTGCTGATCCATTTTATCCTGTTCATCTTTTAGCCCAATATTTTAATCTTTCCATTTTATATCTGGTTAAAAGTGAAGAGTAAAGATAAGCAGAACTTAAGCTGTCAGAGACATGCCAAATTCAGTTATTCTGATGGTGCCCAGATTTCCTCAGGCAACATAGTTAAATCAGTTGTTCAGATCTGTCTGAAGGAGCAAATTTCACCCAGTATGGAATTAGGTTGGATGAAAAGTTTTTACCTTTAGTTATTCATTAATAGCCCTAAATTACCGTGAGAGGCCACTACAGAAATGACAATGGTTTCTTTTCTTCCCATTTCATTGTGATATGTAATCACTGGGATGATCTGAAACATCACTGAGGCTGGCAAATGGACACCTGAGATGATCTACTTTGGATAGCACTGTGTGCTAAGAGTCCTAGATGGACAAGGAAAGCTTATAAAGGCTACTGATTCACCCCAGGCAAACCATCGTGCTAGAACTCATGAAATTCCATCAGAATAAAAGAACATTATGGTCCATCTGCAGCTCAGATTTAGAGGACTATGGTAGGTAGATAGAGCTGATAGAATGAAGACTGACAAGGAACTTTTTATTAAAGTCCTTGTTTGCAGATTGTCTTTCTGAAAAGCAAATTTTGGGCAGAAACTGCTTACACACCCAGTTTTTTGTGTTTTTTTTAAACAAATTTGGAAAAAAGCCAAATACAATTTTTCCTGTTAGTGGAGCATCAGTAGAAGATATTGGAATAAATCCTGGTCCCCAGCGTACAGGCGGAGTAAAATGCTTTGTGTAGTGAAATCCCAGGGGCAGGAAGGATTGAATTCTATTGCAATTCACAAAAAGTGCCCAGTGTTCCTGTGTAGTCAGGTTTGGCAATTGCTATTCCTGGATAGAACGGGATGAAATTTTCATCAGTGAAAATGAAGATTCAGTGACACCAAAACATTTCACAAATTTGTACTAGTTTCACTGAATTGTTTTGTTAAAAAAAAAAAAAGACTAAAAAAATGCAGAGAAAATCAAAACCATTTTTTCCCCACTTTTTTGATTCACCAAATTAAAAAAAATAATAATAAAAATTAAAAGGTTTTGGTGTAACCTAAAATGATTTTCCCCCAAATGTTTTGGAATTACCAGTGAGCCAAAACCAAATCCATTATTCATTCTACTCCTGGATTTCGGAAGGAACAATGGAAGTGGTTCACTGTGCATCCAAACTCATCTGGACAGGTGAATTAACACTGGAGGCACATCCTGCCTATACCCCTGCCACTTCTCTTGCTTTCCCACAATGCACTCCTTTGTGGTCCTGCATAGGGAAGCCCCCACATAGCAAAGGCATCTACAACATGGCCCTAGCTTAATGAAAAACTGGGCAAATGAAGTTTTTGGGTTTCTGTTCATCTGACTTTGTATCCAATAAATTTCACTTCAAATTTTGGTGCAAACACACACACAAACTCAATCTACTTGAAGTCATCACCTGGTTTAATGTCAAGATGATGAGCTTTCCTTAGTTTGGATGAAAAATCATTAATTGGTCCAAGTTCTCTTAAATTTAAAGAAATTTAGCAAATCTCTTGATAAACTAGGGCTGTTCTTTTCAGTTTGTAAGCCAGGAACATTTCATGCAGTTCCTGGTTTTCATGCAAACATTTCATATAGCCCTAACAATGAAGCCATGCTGCTTATCTTCAGTTCTTTCTTTGATCGGACTAGAAAGATCTCCAAAGAACACATTTTCCCTTTGCATGCTTGTTTCCTAAAGCCCACTACTTTGATAAGAAACATGATCCTGGCCCCAATAAATTCATAAACGTAAATTCAAACACTATCTTAAAAGTGGCCAGTGCCATTGAAGTGTCTCAAGTTATCACAACCTGGTCAATTTTAAAGCTAATTTTATCTTTCCTCCTCCCTGTCTGCTATACTATTTTGGTATGTTCAGGCTTGTGTATTTATATTTGTATGGCTACCATGCACAAAATAATGCAAATCATGTACCATATGTTAGAGTAATCTATTTTCATAGTTTATGCTGCAGTCTCAAAGAATGAAATATAGATGTTACAATGCAAACATTTTATTATGGCTAGAAGTTAAATATAATACTCAGCATTGGTTACTGCATGTTTTCCCAATGGCTGTCCCTTCATACTGCTTTAAACTTGAATTTAATTTTGCAAAAAAGTAAATCACATTTTCTAATTGTTTATTACCATTTAGTTAACTCACTAAGTAAAACCTTCTACTAGATGTAGGTTTTTGAATCCATGCATTTTGTAAAGATATATTTGCATTATATTATTATTTTTGCTGTATCTATTTTTCATGCCAACAGCAAGCGTCCGGTATTCCATTCCTTCTTCATCATCATCTGCACTTTTCTGTTACTGTTAAAATATGTGTGAAAGCTCTGCTGAGTTATTTTAAGTATCTGATAAGAAAGCCTTCCTTGTTTGGGATCCCTGTGCATCACATAGCTATAGTAGAATTTAGAGTGATCAGATGTCCTGATTTCACTGCTCTACAGCCAAAATGCTTCTGAAATAAATGT